AATATTGAATATAGAGAAGGAAAATCTCATGTTAATGCTGATGGACTGAGCCGAAGACCCTGCCAAAATGACTGCAGCCATTGCTGCAAAAGAGAGGTTGAGCTAACGAGGTGTCATAAACCTGAAGTCAAAGTGACTGAAGGAGTTGATGGTGGTGAATTGGAACCAGGTATATATATTAAATCAGTGCAGGAGAAAGGCCAAGATTTCAAGCCAATAATTGGTTTTCTAAAAGCAAGTGTTTTGTGCCCTGCTTGGGAGAAGGTGTCTAGCTTAAGCCCTGTGACAAAGAACTATTGGGCACAATGGGACCAGTTGAAGCTTAAAGATGGTATTCTTTTCTGGAGATGGGAAACTGCAGATGGGAAAGTGACGACCTGGTAAACGGTTATACCAAGGAAGTTACGGGAAGTTGTGTTGCATCAATCCCATGATACTGTAACAGGAAGACATCTCGGAGTTAAGAAAACATTGGGTCACCTACGACAGAGATTTTACTGGATAGGAATGAGGCAAGATGTGGAAGAATGGTGCAGGACACTCAGTACATGTTGTGATAAAAGAGGACCCAAGCATAAGGGACGTGCTCCAATGTAGTTATATCAAGTTGACGCCCCAATGGAAAGAGTAGCCATTGACATTGCTGGTCCTCTGCCTCAAACTCATGCTGGAAACAAGTACATTTGTGTGGTGATGGATTATTTCACCAAGTGGCCAGAGGCATATGCAATACCAAATCAGGAAGCTACAACTGTAGCTTCGGCTATTAGTGATTTCTTCTTCAGATTTGGTATGCCATATGAACTGCATTCAGATCAAGGCCATAACTTCGAATCAGCTATGTTCCGAGAATACTGCAAGTTGTTTGGCATCCGAAAGACCAGGACAACGCCACTTCACCCACAGTCCGATGGGATGGTAGAAAAGTACAACTGGACACTGGGACAGGAATTGGCAAAGTTTTGTAATAGCCACCAAGATGACTGGGATGTCTTACTCCCTCCACTGTTGATGGCCTATAGGACAGCAGAGCATGAAGCCGCTGGATACACTTCAGCAACGTTGATGTTTGGTTGGGAACTTCGGTTGCCAGTGGGTCTGTTAACAGGACCACCACCTTATGAAGAGGTGCCTGAAAATGTTTCAGAGTTCGGGAAAATGTTATCTGAAAGGATG